CTCGAAAATAAGCTTAAGGAAACAATATCTGAAGCTGTTGCATTATTGGTCCATAAGAAATTATTCTCCTTGAGTGTACCTTTATTCTTATCGTATTCAATTATGTTCTCGTTTCATCGCACAACTTTGATTTTATCGTAACTCTATCCCAAACTATCTTTTTGTTTTAAAACCTATTTACATTTAGACTCAGCTATTCACGGTTTTAATAGTAATATTGGACCCATCGTTTCAGATTCATAGGTACAGGACAAAGTCTAACTGGCCAGCTATTTTTAATAGATTTTTTTGTTCTTTTTTCTTCTTCAGCGGCTTTGGGCTTCGCAACTCTGTAGTATCTCAGATATACGCTACTGTTCATTACTGCATTTTTAAGACGCTTACCACACATTAATGATAAGTACGGGTCTTTAAAAAGTGCCGTTTCTTCGCGTTTGTTTATGGCTTTTCGGTACTATCGCCCGGCGCCGAAAGGTTCCTGGTATCGGTGCATCTCCCTATATCTCTTGAACCCTACACTTGTATTCGGAATATTGCATATACTCTCTCCCCGCTATTAGCTCGCAACAAAATCCGGGGATTTCATCTAGGGAGCAATTGCCCTCGTGCTCTCGCACATCCTGAAGCCTTCGCTGCGATCTGTCACTTGTGTGCACTCGCAGGTTGGTGTATTCCCGTTGGGTTGGGGCAGGTCGGTCCTCGTTCCCGAGTGCGACGACATGCAGGCGCTGCACGACGCTCTGCAAGCGCGGCGAATGCCTCCCACCACCAACGAGCGCCGTTGGTTATATTAGGTTCCGGTCGAGGTACGGGCAGGACGCATGTGCCCACCTGTATCACTGGGACGTTTACCGGAGAAGACGTAGGCAAAGGAGGGCAAGGGCTTCAGCCGTGGCCGTATCTGGGCTCTCAAATTCCGCTCCTGGAATCGTCATGGCGGTGGCTTCTTTTTGTGCAACGTGTATTTGTTCGATTTTGGGACTTTGGACGGGTCATGCTTTCGCCACTAGGGGTGGATCGAGCTTCGAAGCTCAATTTTACAAGATTATTCGTTTCAAACCTCCATTTTTTATTTAATATGTCTACGCATATTTATCGATAGATCGTATCAATTGGCTTTCGATGTTTTGTTCCAGACCCCCGAGATGCCTAAGACAGGGACGGCGGGCAAAATGCACCGCTGGAGAAGTTTGACGCGAGGCTTCTCTTCCGGGTGCACTTCAAAGCAAGCGCCACGGCAGGACCCCCAGTGCCGGCCTGCTGCTTGGAGCGCGCCTATGAGGCCATTGTGGACGCGGGTGAGGACGGCCAGCAAAGGGTCCTTTCATTTGCCGCAAACCCAGCATCAGTGGCAAACCGGATCTTCGCTAGGGATCGAACATTTAGGAACAATACATATTTTCCCCTTATCCTGAGCGTTGAAAGTTTTAAGCGAAAATTTATCTACTTTCTCCATAGTTTCCATATTACAAATTGCTTATGAATTAAAATAAAATATGTTGATTAATGTTTCACAAAACATATTCTTACGTGAAAATAAATAATATTACTTATTTCGTTATTTTTTTATAACTCAATGTAATTTGAGTTTTTTCACAGTTTAATACTGTGGAGTTTATCGATATAAAGGTAAAAGAGGTGTCAGTTTTCAACGCAGGCGTTAGTCACGCATCACAATGTTTTTCTGAGGGACTTCCCGATTGGGTGGAGGGGATCTAGTTCAAATCTTTCACAATGTCTAAGGGTCACTACTGTCGATTCAGACCAATAAGCACACGAGTGATAACATTCAATATGCGAGTAGCTTCCAACTTCCTCAGATTGCAATAGACAAAATATGGCTCATCTGGTAATCTGTTTTCATATCGGCAATGAAATCGTTTAGTCGTTTTTAACGACATTTTTCACTTTAAAACATAGTATTGATTTTTTTCGGTTTTCAAACCTAAAAAGGTCCGATCCCCCATCATCACAAATACGGAAACGAAACTGGTGTAAAGGAAAGCAAAATGATAACACAGACTTCTACTTGATTGTTATAAAACTTTGTCAAAATAATAAGAGGTAACTTAAACAATGATCCGACATTTCAGGATGAATAATTTTTTGGGGAACAGACACCACTGTATCCTGAAAATTCATGACACAAATCCAGGGAATCGTCGTATTTTTCATTTTTGTTCGGGTAAATTTTTGAAAACAATAGGATATCTATCCAAGTTAACACTAAGTTCGATCCTTTGTGCGTTCTATCAAGTTTTCTTACCTTCTGTCTCTGTTACGTGAATAAAGCGATGTTATTTCTCTTGCAGGCATAAACCGCAAAAACGCTGCGTGGAAAAAGAATGGGTGTGTATGTGGGCGCTTGCTTCTCTGAAGCAGAGAAGACACTGTTCTATGAAAAGGTTCAGGTTTTCTGGCATGGAATAACAAGGTTGCTGTCGAGCTAATGCTGTTCCAATCGTATATCTTACTGGCTCGGAGCGAAAGGTGAGTGATACGTTTTCTCAGCCTCCAGGTGATTGCGAGTTGTCATATTTTTTCTCCAAATGTTTATTATAAGATTTACAATTTTCAATTACAAGTCTGTTTTCTCTTACTCAAGAAATACCAACATCATTATATAACTCGATATTATTGTGTTATTCATTGGGAAAAGGAGCTATCTTTCTCCAAAAATTAGTATAGGAGTGTCAGGTAATAGTGATGAAGGTGCGTAAGCCGGGAACTAGCATAATTCACTTATTACACAAACCTGTAACTGAAATACTCTAGTGCTAAAGGTTTATTTTATAATACGGATTTATTCATGCAATACTCAAATTGAGATGTTTGCAGCGCGAAACTACATCGCACTAACACGTAAAGTTCGAATTAAAAATAATGTGGGATTACCCCTTTTGCGCTGATCCTCTGAATTGTTCCAACAAACACGTACTCTACAAGAATAACCATATATACATATAGTATTTCTGAAAGCTGTTATGTAAACATCCCTTTTCCGGATGCACTTAATCATTAGCTAATAAGGTGTGTGTTTCAAAGTTGATTCGTCTTATGTCTGCACTTTTAGTTTCTATTTTTATTTATGTTTATACGTTATTGACGTGAAACAAAACTGTTTTTAATGGTCGCATCATACGCATCAGCGGTAATTTGGTAGTATCGTGGAGGAGAAGACGGTGGCCCGGAGCGGGGTGTGTTTGGGCAATTTGACTTTAAGCATAGCAGGGCAGGTCACATGGCAACTAGGGAGATGATACAGTATAGACAAATGCATTTTCTTTCCCTCTCTGAATGAGATTAATATAGCTATTCCACTCAATTAATTAAAACTACTAGTGTTTAACTTCAATATGAATGCTTCTACTAAGGCGTATCTCAAAACATTTATCGCTTTTCCATCCAATTTTTCTTACCGCCCCTCCCTACTGGCCAAATATTCAACTGGCGATCATCAATCATAAGGAGGCAGTATGTATCGATGCTGAATTCTGTGCAATAAACCCTTATGTAACTATAAACATAACCTCTTTGATTTAATATGCTTTCAGTTTTGCTTTTGTTTTTTTCAGCATTTTGGGGCGCAATTTTGGAACCTCTGGTGGAATAATTTCATTTGTTGCCATTTTCCTCTCACCTATCATTTCGTGCTCTGGGAAATTCTCAAGATAATATTCCTCCTCGCTTCACGAGTTGGGGATTTATCGAGAATTTCGAAAGCATTCATGAGTATTGACTGTGATAAATAACCGGGCAATAATAAAGTTCTGGACAAGTAAAAGGATTCGCTTTAAAAGTTCCGTGCGATTTAATCGCTTCGCGTATACACTAGTGGTCCTAAGTTTGTTAAAATTTTATTTGCAAAAGAATGTGGCTATTAAATTCACACTTAATATGGACAAGTTTTAATTATCTTAATGTTAAATAACAGTTAAAACTGTTGGTGAAGAATGTGAGAAAGTGACTTCTGTGCATTTTTTCTCGAGCATCCGGAGTCCTTTACCCTCACTCTTGTAGTGTATTATATTGAAGTATGAATTCCGGTGGCAACGAAGTATTTGGAAGGGGAAATCACTCTAATGTCGATGTAGATAGACAAAGCTGATCTTTCGGGGAGGACCACGCCACTGTCGTAAGTAAATACACGTACATACGGGAATCATAATCATAGTAAGTTCATTGCCGCTCAGAAACACTGAAATAATCCTCAAAACAACAAGATCTGCTACAGTTATTTGACTTCATCACGCGGAATACGACTCAGGGAACCGCAGCGACCGCCGCCTGTTATCACAACCAGATTAATCATTGTGGGGGGGTTGACCGGGCCGGCTCAGCAAAATTTAGCACCTGCTTTTGAAGATTCTTCGAACCCCATGTGGCCTCCAACCGGCGTCGCCTGAGGCCTTGCAGCGGAGGCCCAAACATTCCACCCAGCGATTCAATAGATACAGCTGCTACCTGTTGACGTGTTTTTTAAGAGTTTGGCTATAAGCTCTCAACTGCCCTTCAGGCGTCTACCTAAATGGACTTTTGAAGTCAAGTGTCTGTTTCTTTGAAAGAACGAATATTCTTAGTCGCGCTTTGGCTCCTAAGAATGAACTGCGAAAAATTTTGTATTTTTTAAAACATAAGAATTTGTTTTCGTCTTTTTGCCTTTTGTGGGGAAAATCCAACGAACTCGTAGTAAGGCTTATTATAAACATTATTATTTATAATTTTCTTGTTTGAATTATTAAACTTTAATGTTAACATCATTTTAAAAATTTTTCAAAATGAAAACAAGTTTTTTTTTTCCGTCGCCCATCCCTTGTTTTCCAGGCCCCCCTTGCTAGCTAACTGAAAGGAAGGTGATCCACCTTTTTCGAAGACGCGTAAGAGGGGCGATTTCGTGCAATATACTTTCAAACGCAGAAACAATGTCTTTTTTCAAACTTATCAATTTTTCGATGACAAGCCATCGACATGGACTCGCAATGTAGGCTCTCCCGCCGATCATGAATGACACAACTTCTAAGAAGGCCGTCGAGTCGCCGACGGGGAAAGGATGGAAACTGCCTTGGCTCTTGCTCGAACCGCAAGGTCGAACGGAACTAAAAAAACTGGGATATAACAAAGTAACATGTGAATATATATCTCTATCAACTCCACCACTATAGCCAACGTCAGCGTGTGGAATTACATGTCAGTCCTTAACAACATTATTTTGAAACTTTTCTTTCTCGCTTTCAGGACCGAGCTATACAACAGATCACAGCATGCAGCTCCGCTTTGGTTCAGTTTCAAGCAGGCGTACGAAGCCTTATCTACTGGGCGAAGTGGACTACGCGTTGGTGGGCGGCACCACCTTTTGTTACATCCCACCGTTTCTCTCCAGTTTCATGCAATTAGGCGTGGCTGTCGAAGACGGCGAAGTGCAGCCCATTTGATGAGACTGTGAAGTATTATTTGTCTCATTCCGGGAGTCAGTGGGAGTACCTTATAAAAAATTAAAAGTACGACGATATAACTATTTTCTGAGGAACATTATAATACAATATCGAGGTGAACAAGACCAATATGGGCCTCAAATATTGAAGGTGTTGGACTATTTCGAAAAATATATTGTAATTACTGAAATCTAGAGGGTTTAAATGTTTCCTGTTCTTAAAAATATCGCTTCATCCATTGATGAAAATGAAGCACCTATGGAAATAATTTTTAGATCTTTCAAAGCTTTTGGACGTCATTCGTCATAGGCACTTTTACTTTCAAAACTGGTATTATATGGAATTCGTGTATTACTCTACATTGATATCTTCGTTCTTAAAACAACGTCTCAATGAGTACCAATACCAATAGGATTATAGGGCACTTTATACACACCTTGCCGATTCAATTTCAATTGCATAAGGAATTCCTCAGGGTTTCGATATTAGGTCCATTCTGTTTCCGACTACACGAAAAGATATCACCTGGGGATTCGAGCGGCTGAACAATTCTCTATGGGATACGAATATTCTTTGCAGTAAGAGGAACCGTAAATAGTACATTATCAATGTTTCAAAATTGGTTCCCTAAAAATTTAATAGTAAACGAAAAACCTGATTCAAAGTAGTTTTTCTTTACAAGTAATAAACCATACTCTCATTGAAAAAGAACGATGTGCAAATTATCAGATGTTAAGTAACACACTTTTGGGGTCTGTCAATTTAAGTTCGAACTTCACTGCAACATCCATTTTTTTATAACGAATTGACCAATTTCAACACCTTGTTCAGAAATATTTCGTCCATTATTTACGCCACTATGTATTCTTAGTTTACTTCGAATTTTAGTCTAGAAACATGGGATGTCTATACAAATTTCGTCCCACTTTTTTATGTCCACTATATGAAGGTCCACTGAGCATTGACGTGCATCACATTGAAATGTCCACTATTATTGTGCCCATTTTATTTTTTTAATCCACTAATTATAGTATATGTAAATATATACATATTTTATAGAGTTACAAATTATAAAATTAAATATTGATGCTTCTCTATCGCTCTCTCACATCTACACAGTTTCATTCTGTAGCTAATGCAACGCAAATATAAATCTAATTATTTATTTTTTCAGATATTGTTAAATATATTTGGTCTCATAATATTTTCCATTTCACGTTGATTTATGTAAACGAATTCTAACGAGATTTTCATTTTGCCCTATGACCGGGTCAGCAAGTGTAGTACAAGGAATTTCCATAAGTTTCTTGATTTTTTTATATAGTCTAAATTTCCATATTTTTGCATGTGTCACGAATAGCGACACGAAATTTCGAGTTGCCAGCCCCTACAAAGTATTTGTTCTGTCCTGCTCGCAGTAAACCCCCGCTCATATACATTCCATGATTGCGAAGGGAATCGAGACGGCCTTGCTCTCCCTACTTACAGTCGTCCTCAGTACGTTGTTTCAAAGTGCCGCCAAATGATTTTATAAATTGTCGTGGCTTATTTCTAACAATATAATCAAATCACCTCTTCCATGTTGTCGAGAGGTATTGAATAGAAGGTCCATTCAGCCACAGAACGTCATTTCTTATGTCATCTTCGGTGACCACGTATCTTTAGTCTTAAGTTTACCAATTGCCGACCAAATAGCTTTGCGAAGAAGGGATTCACAAATCGTGCTGCTAGGTTAATACGAACTCGTATACGCACTCATTTCGAAGACCAACTTTACAAAGGCATGCGACATCTTTTGTTCAATGCTTCAAGCTGCCATTCTTAAGATGTTCAAGATTAATATTAGGTTACTTTAATATTTCTGGTACGCCAACCGTAACATTAATGAAAAAACGAATCGTATGTTTTTCCATGTAAGTGTACAAGTGATAAATAACTTGGAACACTTAAAGTTCTGCCACAAAAAATGTCCTGCTTACACATAATAGTTCAACAAATCATTTATATAAAAAATAAGTGTTTTGTCATTATGTATCTGGCTGTCGAGCTTAAAAACTGCTTCTCCGCTTAAGCTAACATTGTATTACTGTAGCATCTTGTGCTAAAGGCAGTGCAGCCACTATCTACATACTGTAATCGGTTCACAACTCGTACTAAGGAAGTGTTGAGGCTGTGGAAATCTCGTAGAATAGTTGGGATGGCAATTAGAAAAGCATAATGAAACAATCGTCTCTTTCATCCAGTAGTTTTTCTCAGACAAGAGTGGTCTGGAAAGAGACGACCACATTGACAAGGATTGTTACTTGGAGAAAGGATTAAGAGGTATTAAAGAGATTTGTCGCAGTTTACCTCTGTTCCAGACGAAATCACAGGTTTCTTTACGAATTTCGTCGTTTTTACTTCATGTTACGACTAATCAAAATGCCTGGCATACCCTGAATCGAACTTTAAAAGCGTCCAACACGTTTTTTACTAAGCTTTTTGCACTTCCTCTCTGATGACAATGCGAGCTTTGGTGTGTGAGGTAAAATCGGTGAGTTCCCGTTATTTTGACAATGCTAATTTAAAGCGCGGGGCTGCCCAGGAGCTGACGCGGAATCTTTTCGGTGACGCTCCGAACTAACAGGAAGCAGTTGACAATCTACGTCCAGGAACTTTGTACGAAAGATGGAGTATCTAGGTCAACAGGGAAGAAAATTGCGCGGTTTTTTATGGTAAAATTAAAGCTATCTCGAAAGCCCCAAGTTTGAAATGGTATGATCTCTGAAACGCCTTCAAAAACATCAAAAGGTTGCTCTATTAAAAAACACGGCGCCAACTTTGAAGTAATTTGGCGGTCATGTGCCGACAGAAGTTTTCCGGTAAATGCAGCAGTCTTCCTGAATTTTTCTATACCTGAATTCTCTTTATTACGCATGCAGGAGGTTTCATTTCGGATGATCTGCCTTCTTTTAAATTCCTGCCACCACTCTCTATGAATGAACTTTCCAGATCCATTTTTCACATGAGTGTGCTGATCTTCTTTACATATAGAATAATTATTTTTGTTTTCGAGACGGGCATTGCGATATCTCGCTTTACAGACCGCCAATAAGATTTTCCATTTCTGAAGAAAGATGGAGCTGATACTTGTAACTATTGTTTTTTAGACGAACAGAGTTAAGTTTCCAGTCCCAGAATAATTTCAATCTTCATTATCGCGAAACCACAACATGGTAATTATTTAATTGCTTAAAATTAATTTAAATTTAATATATATAATAATACTTATATATATATAAATTTAATATATATTATATCATATATATCCCCTTCTTTAACCACAAATTTATAACTTCCAAATTGTTGTTCGTTGGGGCAGTCCGCAGATATCTGCTCCTGCGAGCTGAAAAGAAATCACAGGGCAGAGGGAACTTTGGGTTTGAGAGCCAATCCAAACAAGAACACATAAACAGTTTAATTGCCTCAAAACCCACTTCGTCAACACGCCACAAATCACACACACTGACAGTAAACCACAAAACTTGACTTCACAGAATGATTGCCGCTAATATCTACTGGGATTTCCTTGAAAGTGAATGTTTCTAAATCTGGGCTCATTCTTATTTTACAACTGCTCACGAAACCAAAAAAATACAGGAGATTTACTATCTCCTCAAAAAATCACAGCAAAAATGTGCCAGTGCACCACTGTCCTTTGCGATGTTAGCTTGTGGCTGAAATAACAAATAAACATGTCGATTTAAATCTTTTTGTGGAATAATAGTGGCTTCAAAATGGCTTTGGCTATTAAATTGGAATTTGTTGCCACCGTGTCCTCATCCCTCGACTCTTCTGTAATTCTGCCCTGCCGACGTGAACTTGACCTACTTGCGTCCTCTTCCGGTCTTCTTCACTCTTGTGGTTCCTTAGCCGATTCCTCTCTTTCTTCTTTTGTAGCCGCGGTTCCTCGTGCTCTTCTTCTCCTCGACTACGCTCGCTGCTGATTTACTTTACTAAACTTCAGCTTTACCAGCGTTTCTAACACGGGTACCTTTTACTTCCCGGTTCGTTAATTGAAGAAATAACTTTTTCTGAATTCTACACTATCTCACGGGCGACTGACTAGCACGACCTGTCGACGGTCACTACTCCTATCTAATAGTCGTTGCTGCGGCGGGACAATATCTAGGCGAATGATATCGAACAGTGTTGACTCGGCGAGAAGTGATCAATAGAGCTGCTGGCTCGGCAATCGGAACGAAAAAACACCTCCCGCTTGCGGCTCCGCGTATATATATGTTTCCTCGCCTTCCTTGTGAGGGGTGGCGCGACCGTTAACCTTTCTCCGGCTGAGTTCACGTATTTTGCGCTATCTAGCGGTCACAGCACAGCAATTCGTCTCATCGTCGGCGCGCCGGGCGGGCGCGCCCTATTTGAACCGCACTGCGTCCGCACCTGTTCTGCCATAGGTGTCAATAATGACGTGTGGTCATGTGGGACGAACCCTACACTCCGCGTTCGTATATATACTATAATCTATATTATATATATGTATATTACAGAGAGAGACAGAGCGATACTGTGACCAACTATTTATGGATAAGAAGTGGGCCGAAAGTCTGGGAACAATTGAATTGGACCTTATAAGCAATTAGAACTTCTCAAGTGACCTGGAAGCAAATTGACCCACAAATTAATTCATTATAATACGCGTTTCAGAATTTTCAATTCGGTCAGCTCCCGCTCTGCTCGTTGTGATATTCTAGACATTTTCATTCCCACTTGAGATATGACATAGTAATTTGGCGGAAACACTTCGTATAGCTTCTCCAGATTTTACAGATTAACAAAAGATAGCTTCCCAGATTTTAGACTTACAAAAAAGAATTGCAGAAAATCTCGCCCACGTGATTCTTGTAAGCAATCTCTTTAATTAATCTTGGAAATTTTACCTTTACCTTGCTCTTGCTTTACGAATCGGGGTGTTTTGTCAAAAGTCATATCCCCGGGTTTGAAAT